GCACAATTTCTCCTGTTATCTGAGAAATTATTTCTGATTTCATTTTTTCCAGATCCCCTTTTGTTGCCAGTTCAGTGGGTCCAGGTGTTTGAGAATCAGAGCATTCCATCTCATTTCCCTTTGGGGTTGCTGTAGGTGATCTGGAAGTCTGGTTTTGAGACTTATTTATGTGTTTTCTCATTGTAACTGGGTGGTGGGTGTTGGCACCTGCAGGGATTACCTCCTCTGAGCTGGGAGAGGTGGGACAGGGGCTGGGAGCAGCCATAGGGATGGTGGCCCAAAAGCCCTTTCCTCTGGGCTGGGAGCAGCAGGAGGGATGGTGGCTGGAAAGCCCCTTCCTCTGGACCAGGAGCAGTGGGACAGCGGCTCAGATGCCCCTACCTCTGGGCCGGTAGCAGCGGGAGGGATGGTGGCCCGGAAGTCCCTTACTCTGGGCCAGGAGTGGCGGGACAGAAGGTGGCCCAAAAGCCCTTTCCTCTGTCCTGGGATTAGCAGGAGAGATGGTGGCTGGGAAGCCCCTTCTCCTGGACCAGGAGCAGTGGGATAGTGGCTCAGAAACCCCTACCTTTGAGCCGGGAGTGGTGGGAGGGATGGTGGCCTGGAAGCCCCTTCCTCTGAGCCAGGAGCGGCCTTTTCAGGATAGTTTAACAGAAGAGGTAAGCACTAGATTTTAGAACTACAATTAAGGAGACAGATACACTCTTGTAATCACCAAAATGAAAAATTGAAGAGAGAAGAATTTCTGCATTTTTGTTCACACTAAACTATACCATGTCTCAGTGATGGAAGATAAAGACATGGTGTTGGATGGAATAACCACAGTCATGCACTCTTGATAAAGTGCTAGAGATGCCAATGGGATGACAATTACAAAGCCAAAAATAGCTCTCTTTTTTCAAAGCAAAAACCCTCAATTTTTAATCCTTTGAGTTTTTTTAATGGACTCATAGATATATGCATGGCTGTGACAGAAAATGGAGTCATTTTATAAGCACCTTGACAAAATTAACAATTAATTTGTTATTAATATTAATTTGGAAGGAACTATCAGATGTTTCATTTTGTTGTTGTGGGACTAAATACCTATGAAGATTTCTACCTTTGCTTCCATCTCAAGGCTGAAAAACTATTAGAAATCAAATAATGAATGCATTATTAATTATTAATCACTTTTTCACATTGTAAGTTTCAGTATTATTTTTCAAATTCATGGACAGGTTAAAAAAAATCAACTGACCCATATCTATTGGCCTCATGTATAGATCCAAACTGCAACAACTGACATATGTTTCTTTTCTCATATGCAATGCAGGTGACAAATTCCAAAGGACTCATGGAGTTTGTAGGCTAACAAGGATTGCCCACAATCTGGCAGCTATGTCGCCTATCAAGTTAAAGTTAAAGTGAGCCCGGGTCTGCAGGGCTCAGGACTAGCTAGGGCAATTATGGTGAATGCATAGAAGCATGTCTCCTAATACTCATGGAATGGGTAAACTGTTTCAGAGTTTAGGATTATTGGTTAACAAATGAAAGCTGCAGCATTAGTTTCCTTCAACAGGATGCTCAGGGTGGTGAGTGTCTCAGGAGAGCGTGCAGTCTCCTGTGAGTCATGTAGGCAGATTCCCCAGAGATGAGGATTTGGAAAGGGCACTGTATTATTTGCTGCTGATGAAAAGTCATGGTATTAATCCAATTTGTAATACTTCATTAGCAATCAAGCAGCCTTATTTGAGCAGAAAAAATGAAAAGGAAGAGTTTGATGGAAAACTTACAGGATGAATCTGACATTCATTACTACTAAAACATGTCTGAATGAATATGGTTTTTGAGTCCATATATCACAAACCAGGAAATACACAGGTGGGGCTCAGAGGCTCATAGACACTGTATACACACACACACACACACACACACACACACACACACATCTTACACTAACAAATTTTAGGGGGATATTATCAAGAACAATAATAAAATTGCGAGCATAGTAAGTCATACTATCTTTCTCAATAAGTGCCAAATAAAATACAACAGTATTTCTGATTTCTTTAAAGAAAATGACAAACTAAATCAAGCTGCCTGTGGCTTTGTCCGGTGGGATGTTCTAATTGACTCCCAAGTCATTTATCAGCTCCCAATCAATCTATTTTGCCAGCAGCAGGCAGTTAGGATTCCATTACCAACCATCCATCACACCATGTCCTAATTCACTGCACCATTAGCCATGGATTAGGCCTTTGTTAGAATAACTAAGTGCCAATTGCTAAATGCAAAGAATTTTTGTCACCTCAGCTACTGGGATCCCTTCAGGTGGTCGGCACTGGAGTAAAACTTCCTGTTCCAGGGACACTTCCTTTCCCAGGGGCTCCTGCTCAAAGGTCTTCCGTAGATCTGAAAGGCACGGGTGATAAAATATGTCAAGACTAAGTAACATTTACCTATGCATAGAAAGTTCACAATTTTTTCCCAGTTTAGTATTTTATGTCTTTGTATTTTTTAAGCCACATGCAATTAGTACTGACTCAAAACCTGGGTGGCTGCATTCTATGTGGTGGATATTAAGAAACTCAGAGACTTTAAGAGGAGTCTCTGGAGATCCTTATTTAACCATCAGTGAAACTCACTGGTTATACTTTGCTATTTCTTGATAATCAACTATGCTGATCACATTTTAGACAAAAGAACCCTATTTTCATGATCTGTATGCACAGAGTTGCTTATGTATATAAATCTTTTTCTCCTTTCTCACAACAGACATTATTAGAGTTGTAGAAACTCTGGAATCTTTTGATCAATAAATCAAAACCAAGCTTTTGTTGCAGGGTGGAAAAGGGAAAATTGGAGTCTTCAAAGAATGACTATAACTTCTTGATGCTTCAAACCCCAGGTAGAGGAGAGTAACTCTTGAAAAGATTTCAGAAATAACTCAATGTCTAATTTTGAGGCCATTTTTCAGTTAGAATATTAAGTAGCCGTTTCCACTCAGATATACCAAGTACCTAATTATGTGCTTATACATAGTTGTTACAGCAATATGTATCAGAGTTTTAGAAACTATTATGGATAGATGCAAAAATGTTGGAAATCAATTTGTCATTTAAAACACATCAGAGGCACATTCTTCAGGACACATGGCATTATTTATGTAATTAAATAATGCCATGTAATTATTTTGTCTTTATTGCTTAGCTTTAAATTCTAAATCAGTTTTATCTAATTCCTGAAGTTAAAAATTTATTCAGAGAGTTTCAAAACAGCATTAAAGAAGCCCCTGCCCTCAATTTCTATTTTGTGTAAATACAGTTCTGTTCTTGCCGATAAAAAAATTGGAATTTTATCCAATGTATTTTAATAAAAAATAAACACCTCTGTCCTTTCATTCCAGGTCCCTGATAAAGATGTAAGAATCTGAAAGTACCACTTCAGCCCACTGAACTAACAAGTGGGAACCCAAAGACTCTCCAGGTAGATACCTAATGGGTCCCTTCCAGTAAAGTGCCACCTAGAAAATGGACTGAGGAAAAAAAAATCGCTAGACATTTGCCATTTTGTTGAATTTCTTAGCAGAAGAAAACATTATAGTTGTAAGAAAATCATGAGTCTCTGTGCATTTGATAAAAGACAAGACTCTCAAAACAGTGCCAGAATTTCTGTCAGAAAGGTGCCTTTAACTTGATTATTAAGAAATTGAGTCTTGTAGAAATGAATATTTAGAATCCACGGCATTACCATAACTTGAAAGTTATCTAAACCATGTCCTTGTTTTACATCTGAGAACTATGTTTACCAAACTATCAAAGCCTCATAGAAAAATAACTGCTGTTGCACTGGAACCTGCTGACCTTTGATTTTAAGCAACTTGTCATCTCATGTGTTCCTCTACAGACCAACTCTGCTTTTCTAACAGAAACTTGAAAAGTGTTCTTTTCTAATACAGTAGTTTCTACTTCTTTTTTGTTGATCTACATTGAGATAAAAATTTGTAAAACGCTAGTTACCAATAAAAAGAACACCAATGAATAACTTTTATGGAATAAAATGCTACCGGTGGGCAATCCATATTTGTGCAAAATGACTTTGAAGGACTCTCATCTGATGTGAACTGGGGTGAAGACAATGACTGGAATTCGTTCTGAAATTAATTACCATTCTGATTCACCCTTACTTAAATTAATCAGGATATCACAAAATGAAGTTATGGATAAGTGAAAGTGAGGCACATATGTTCTCAAATATTCATAGGAATTCCACTTAATACAAAATGTCTTCTTACGGTAGATTATTTCATTATGTACTTAGGGTGAAGACATGTAAGATCTAGAAGCAAAACTATAAGACGCTATTAGTTTGATTTATGGAAATTCTTTTCACTATGGTAAGGAATGGCAAAACCTCAAAGGCTCCCAAGCAAAGGAAGAGATCAGATGCCATCTTGCCCTGTGTGAAGGCAGTAAGGGACTCAGATTTAAACCATGAGGATGATGGGGTCCTAAACTCAGCTGGTATTGGTGGATAAGCAGATTCTAAAGCTACGTAGATCATACCTTCAGGAAGACCTAGGTATATCTTAGATACCACATTCTTAGATACCACATTGTCAATCTGTTTCCAACTTAAATGAAATATTACCAAGTTGAGCAAGAAAGGTCACAACTCCATTTTAGTACGTGTCCAGTTCAGCATATCTGTGGGATATTTGATTAGAAAAGTCCAATAGGTATAGACCATGGTTTCTAAACATTGATACTATGAGCCTGTCAGACAGGACTGTTTCCTTTGTGCTGAGGTTGCCCTTTCTACATAGCAGGATGCTTAGAAGCGTCCCTGGTCTCTACCCACTAGATGCCAGTAGAGCCCCTCCCTGACAACAAATGCCTGCCGGCATTGCCAAATGTCCCTGAGGGGATCCCCAGCCCAGCTGAGAAACACCAGTCTAGAGCTTGAAAGAGAAATCCTAGTAGCATTCATGGCTGGAGCTCTGGGACTCCATACCATCACCGGGGTAGGGAGGACTGCAGCAGAAAGAAGAGGACAATACAACCCAAGAAGAAAGTCTGCCTGTGAAAATGACATACGGCAAACAAAGAGGTAGGAAAAGGGTAAGTGTCGGAGGTGCCAGGAAGAAAGTAAAATTTTCAGACACAGGGAGGTCCACAGGCCAGGTGCAGTGTAGACTCCAAGGGGAGAAGCCTTGGTTTGGGAACTGTAGGAGTGCGTGGGAATGGGGGGTGACCATTCTGAGGACCTCCTACTCTCTTCCAAATCTTCATGGTGCTACAAGCCAGCAGCACCACTGAAGGGCAGTGGGTTTGTGTGTGGAACGCTGTGACTCATTAGAGTATGGTGTTCTTTGGGGCACACTTTTTAAATTCCTGCTGTAGGACAGGGCATCGTATGTAATCCTTGTTCCTCATCAAGGATGGTGACCACAAGAGCCAACTACTTGAAGAGCTAGATTTAAACCATCATTAAATATCATATTAAGGGCCGAGGATTTAGCTCAGTGGTACTGCCACCTGCCTCGAAAGCGCAACCTCCGGAGTTTGCTACGGATACCAAAACAAAACAACAACAAAAATAAATAAATCGTTTGGTTTTAAACTCTGTATAAATTTTATCTAATTTCTAAAGCGATCTCACATTTCACCCCCACCCCACCCCCCAGCAATACTTCTTCCTGAAAGAACTTTTAAAATCCTGCCATAAAACCTCTCTCCTGGCTTCCGGGTGTGGGATGAGCACAGAATACATCCTGGCTGTGCGCGCAGCAGCTGCTCGCTTCAGTGTGCGTCTCTGTTACTCCGCGCGCGCTGGGAGGGAGGCCACAGCTCTGCATATCCTTTATCATTTGGCAAGAAGCAGGGCAAGGCAGGCCGGATGCCTTGCAGGCAGAAGGAACACAAGGGTGATGAATGAATAAGCATGAAAAACGGACACTTGTCAGCTGGGAATTAGATGTAAAATAGAATGGTTCTGAATAATCTAGGCATTCCTGTCAGAAAAAAACCAAAAAGATGAATTTCTGCCCTTGGAAGACTTTTAGAATTCGACGTTTCTGTTTTCTTTCCAATAGTTCTAAGGCTGCTAAAATGACTAAAAGGCCTTTCATTATAACCTAGATTACTTTTGCAAAGTCAACTTGGCCTAACTCTGATTTAGTTATTGATTCTACCCATTAAAAGAAAAATCAGCTTTGTCATATGTAAGCATTCAGAGGGACATTTACTCAGGAGCGTGCATATTGGTTTACCAAATCCATACATTGAAATCCAATTAGCAGATGTTGAATCAAATCTGATATGGATTTCTATTGACCATTTACACACAAAGAGCGGCATTTTCAATATATGCATGTCTGCATACAAAAGGCTTGTTTTTCATCATAGAATTTTGATGCTTTCGATGATTTTTTGCACAATAACATTGTGGTGCAAAATTATCTGTGATGTGGAATACAAGAATACACTGATTTACGGCATTTTGCCAGCACTAACTAGTTCTGCTTTTTGACGATGGAGTTAGTAAAGAAGATGAACTGAGAGATGGGAGACTTTCTGGACTTCACTTTCCTCTTTGCAAAATGAAAATAAAGAACTAGATTTTTTTGAAGGTCTCTTTTTCTGTAAGGGCCTATGAATGAATAAGATGTTAAATATGCATTGTAGGGGAAAGAAACATCCTACGTGGAGTAAAATAATCCTTGGTTGCAATTATCCATGTCAAAGAAAAGTAATAGGATAAATTATTTTCAAAGTGTAGGAGTTGATGCATCTTAGAAGACACCACTCTATAATATTGCCCGACAGACAACTTTTCAGGAAACTTTTGGACACTTGAGTCTACATGTTTGGAAACAATTAGAAACTAGAAAGAAGGGTGGGTTCCAGAAGATTCAGTGTTAAAAATTTTAGCAACTTTCTGGTAGGAATTTAAAAGAGGGATATAATATACTCTACTGTCTTACTTTTTTCATAGCTGGGTCTCAATTCTTAACACGCACAACTTAAAGAAGGAGAGATTTATTTTGGCTTCACATTCAGCACATCCTCTGCTGGCTGGAAAGGCAGAAAGCTGGTGGAAGAGCCTGGCTGGAGGAGTGTGCTCTCCTCATGGTGACCAGGAAGCAGAGTGAGGGGAGGAGCCAGGCAGGGAGATATCCCTTCCGTGTCATGTCCCCAGTGACCTCCCTGTGATGAATTCTTTCATCATACAGCTCCCTCATCATTCATTCACCACACCAAAGCCCTGCCTGTGAGTTTATGAGATTTTTATTTTATGAAAAAATAAAACAAATTTTCATAACCAAATAATGAATAAGAGAAGAACAATTTTTTTTTTTTTTTGTACTGGGGATTGAACTCAGGACCTTGTCCTTGCAAGGCAGGTGGCAG